CTCCTCTGCTACCAAAACCCCACCAGACACCGAACCACCACAGTGTGAAAAGTTGGTGAAGCATTGGGGACGGGTCAAATAGTAAGGAAGTGCAGTTTGGGAAGAGGCCCCATAGGAGAAAATGGATGTTGGAAGAAGTGCGGTATATGCTGGAAAAAGCTTTCCCGGGAAGCTGCAGGTTGTTACCTGCATACAAACAGATTAACAATAGCTTTCAGAATTTTGGAGGTGTTTGGGGAAGGATTTAGGAGAATTCTAATTTCTGCTTCATCGTGGGCTTAGTCCGTGGATTAGAAAGTGCTGTGGATCATTTACAGCCTAGGCAATATTGGTAGTTTTCTAGGATAGATTAATAATTGGTTGTTGACAGCAATGCCTTATGTTTAGTCAAAAGTATTAAAATGAACTTCAGTAATTCATATATCAGTTAAACAATTGTTCTAACAATACACACCTCTTCATGAACTCTCATTCCTGGAGAAAAGTAGGGACGTACCATGTTTTGTCAGCTTGGTACCTTTACTGTCAATAGGACTTAAGCACTTAGTTTGTAACTTATTTGATGTAACTTCTCAATGTAGTTGCTGATACTGAGGCAGTAATATGGTGTTTGTTACATTATTTGATTTTTCTGTGACATGGATTTGAGATGCAGTTTTTTAGAAAATGACAAATACATTTATTAGTTTGCAGTCCATGTTAGAGGATCTACTTGTTGCTACTGCTGATGGATTTCTCCATCTCGTTCACTGGGATGGTATGACCAACGGAAGGAAGGCCATCAACCTATGTACAGTTCCATTTTCTGTGGACCTGCAGTCTTCTCGAGGTAGATTTTGGGGTTTTTTATTGCTTATGATAGTTAACTATTGGTGAAATACCATCTAATATAAAATATTATCTCTGATCTCAAGCAGAGATGAGAAGAATGTGCCTTCTGTAAATGTGAACAAAATAGCCTGTTTAAATTCGTTTTTTCTGTAAAGTAGTAAGTAAACAACTGAAAAGTCTGTTGTCTTGCAATATCACTGTGTTCACATATTTTTTAAATTACTGATATTTTCTCAGCAGGTTCATTTTTGGGCTTTGAAGATGTTTACGTCAGAGATATGGAGTACTGTGCCACGCTAGATGGTTTTGCTGTTGTTTTTAACGATGGCAGAGTTGGTTTCATTACACCAATGTCAAGCAGATTCACTGCTGAGGTATATTTCCTTTAGTGTTTCTAGCATGCGCTCTGAAATAAATGTGTTTTCCTCGGTCTCGGCGTTTCAGTTAGCTTTTTACTTTAAGTGTTGTTCACCTGCTAAGAAATTAAAATTTAGCAACTGGTTAAGAGATAACGTAAGAACAGGATTATATTTTATACCGTAATTTGAACTAGATTGTTCTACGGCTAGTACATGTCTATGGGAGAACATAATTGATAGTAGATTTATTTTTTCTTTATTGATTCAAAAGGTTATTATAGTTATGAGGTCTTCTTACTGTCCCTGCAACAGACTTCCTGTTGCTAGTTACAAGTGGGGTGATGAGAAGTGGTTTCTCCTATGGCAAGATATCATAAGCACTGTTTCTAGCTTTTAGCTGTAGTCAAATCTGACTCTTCTTATAGTAACAGGCATACTTCAGAATTTGTTTTAAAGGAATCTTTTCCAAGTTAGGTGTGTTCTTACCTGTAATTCAGCCTACAAACTGACTGCATTTTGCCATTAGATGTCTTTATTTTACTTACAGAAAACCCAGGAGGATTTGCGTAGCCTGTCCCAAACTCCTTCACACACTTACAATACCTGTGATTTCAGCTGTTGCAGATGGGAATTTATTTTCCTGTTTTGAGTTTTGTCTTCATCCTTAGCACCATCTACTGATTTTTTTTAATTATTATTTTTTTAATGCAGTATCAGGGATATTCTTGCCTTATAGGTGTTGACTGGCTTTGGTTATTCAGAGCTCTGATAAACAGTTCCTTACATACTGGCATCTCTCTATAATTTTTATTAAAAACAGTGAAACCAGTTTTACGTATGCTGGATTTTGTTTACCTGAGTCATGTCAGTTAATCTTGACATTTGCAACAGAAATTTCCCGAGGTGATGAAGGTCAACGGGCAGATCTGTAATGCAGTGCACATGGGTGGCACACGCATAGAAGCTGACTATCATGAATAAAAGCACTGTTTAACCCAAAATTCTGTGAATTCCTTATTTTACAGCAGCTCCATGGTATTTGGGCACAAGATGTGATTGATGGAACTTGTGTGGCAGTAAATAACAAGTACAGGCTAATGGCATTTGGATGTGCCAAGTAAGTTTTGTAAGGCTTGTTAAATGGGGGGGGGGCATTTCGTTATAAAGCTTAAACACAGTTTTCTTCTTCCCAAGTTGTGTTGCAAGGGTGGTAAAGATGAAAATGATCAGTTGTCCAACATCAGAGTGTGGGAGGGAAGAGGAAATAAATGGTTGCCTGCTTGAACTGCAATTGAAATTCATGCTTGCTCTTCAGCTCTGGAAAAAAAAATTGAAAGGTGGCTGGACCAGTAGCCAGGATTGGAAAGTGCTGCTGGCCCAGTTAATCTCAAAGCAGGATTATAAAGTCAGTTTTAAGCAGTTAATTATAATTATCTTGAACAAGAATCAGCACTTCCTACCCAACTGAGAAAATGCTGTGTAAAGTGTAGATTTGGTCAGGAAAAGTGTTCCCTGTTTGAGTAACTGTAAATATTTATAAACTAAATGTTGCAAAAGTGCTTTTAGTTGGAGTGTTTTACTTATTGCTCCTTCAAGACGGTTCCTCCTGTATAATACTGCTTTTAGCTGATTTAGAGTGCAGCTTTTTTTTCTAAACATTTTTTTAGAGTATTTCATAAGATCTGGGTAACTTAGTCCTCAATTGTCATCTTAAGAAATAGTATTGTCAGTTGTAGTAACAATGCAGTGTGTTGGTGTTTGCTTCTGAAACAGGAATAGTTACTATAATTCACTGATCTTGATATGCATTAGTATACTCCTGATGAAGTTTTAGCACTGAATGAATACTGATTTCTTCCTTTGTGGATTGTCTAGCAGTTGGAAGCCATAAATATGTGGGTTGTGTGTGCATGTGTATTTTCAGAGAATTAAATAGTCTTAGTGCATTAGTTAGTATAGGGCCAGTGTTTTGGGTCCTCCACTGCCTTCTGGAAAGTTATCTTATGATTTTGTTTCATAAAGTTCTTTGAGTGTTACTTGACATAATGCTTCTGATATAGATGAATTTGGTATTGGTGAGAAAAAAGCAGCTTTTATTAACCTCTTGAAACTGATGAGAAATCCAAATGGTCTGTAGTCTAAAGCGTGTGTAATCTTTTCCAGTGGCTCTGTGCAGGTTTATACAATTGATACCACCACTGGCGCCATGCAGTTTTCTCATAAATTGGAGCTGACACCAAAACAATATCCTGGTGAGCTACTTTTATTACTGGAATTTTCCAGCTGTTTTTAGGGTATTAAAGAGTATTTTTATCTTTGGCTAGTTAACAAATATTTGTATTATCACTGATGTATCGGTATTTACTCTTGCATGTTTGTAGTAATTTACTCTTGCACATTTCTTCTTTTAGCTGTTTGCTTTTAACTGACTTTTGTATGTGTTTCATATATGAGGATCTGGGCTTTGGGGTTTTTTTGTTGTTTTTGTTTTTAACTAAATCTAAATCTGAGTTAACAGCTAATGGTGCTGCTGCTGGTTGTTCCTTTTTAAGTGTCTCAGATCTTAGTAGTTCCCACATGTGGTCTCGAGATTATGCTCACATTATTCACCTGAGAAAATGAGAGATTATTGTCAAAACTGATACTAAATGTAATAGAAGTGTGAATTAATCTGAAAAACTGACCAAAAACTTTGAGTAATCCAGCCTGAACTGCAGTGAACAAAAGCTCGGTTGTATTTTCCAATATAGTAGTGATGAGTATTGCGGGCTTGAGAGTAAGGAACACATTAAGTGGGTAAACTGCATCCTCAGTTGAAAATGTATGTGCCTATAAGTTTCAATAAAAGAAATCAAATCTGTAAATAACAGAATTTCACAGTTGTACTAAGTGCCAAAGGAAGAGGTTTCAAGGGCGAATATAAAATCTTCTTTTGTCCTAAAAATCATTTGGACAGAATTTCAGTTCTATGATTGTGTCATAGCATAGTGTATTTCTGGCCTGTTTTCATGTACTCTTAGTTTCCTATGAAACCAAACATGTATTGGAAAGAAAACATGGCTTCTTCATTTGCTGCTTATTCGTTTTGAGATGGTGAGTTTGAATGCACCGAAGAAGTATTTATTTCCATATACTTTTGTTTCTACTCTTATGGTGAAAGCAGTTGAAGGACTTTTTGGCGTTTTTTCACATGGTGTTTTATTGTCTGTTTTTAATCAGATATTTGGAATAAAACAGGACCTGTTAAACTAATCAGGTGGTCACCTGATAGTTGTGTTGTGATGGTGACCTGGGAATGTGGAGGCTTGTCCTTATGGAGTGTTTTTGGTGCTCAGCTTATCTGTACTTTAGGAGGTGATTTTGCGTGAGTATCTTTAATGAAATTGTAAAATGTTTTATTAGAAACCTTTGCTTTTCTAATGAAAAGCATTTGATTAGAAACTAAATCTCAGAATTAGCTTTTTAAAATCTTTTTCTGTTATAATTCCATAGGTATTGGAATCATTGAGTAATATTTAGGAGGGGATCATTTGAATATTAATGAAAATTATTTTCTTTTCTTTTTGTAGTGGATTTTTTGGCCATAAAAGCAAATTGCCCTAAAGGCAGGCTTTAGCAAGCAAATTTTAAAATATCCTCAGTGCCAGTATATATTTGCTGAAAATGTGCTAGCAATTCAATCAGTTGAATCACAAATTCAATCACAATTGAAATCACAATTCGAGCAGTTTATGCTAGACATCTGACAGTTGCATTGCCTTCTATGCCTGTCTTGGATCAAACAGGCTTTATAGTTTGAGGTGAAATTCAATATAGAACCACGTGACAAGACAAAGTTAGGAAGATAATTTTTATTTTGATGAAGTTACTTCCAAACTCAAACTTGTTCTTTTCTGTTCTGAAGGTATCAGTCTGATGGTGCCAAAAAGGACCCTCTAAAGATCAGTTCTATGGTAAATATGGATTTAAAAGTACTGTAAAAAGATGGCTGTTAATTTTAAAAATTATTTTTAGTAAAACAGATTTTCAGAAAATCAAGCTGGCTTTCGTTAGCTTTATTACTTTTAAAGAGTAAGATGCCTTTACAACACTCCCTAACACCAATGTTACATTGAAGGAAGAGGGAAAAGAGGCCAACTGATGATTTTTTTTTTCATGTGTATGCCTGCTCATGAAGTGTGCATGACATGCCTTTTCTTGGCTTTGCTTTTAATATTAAGAATGAACATTTACGGTTTTCCTTAATTTTTTTTTTTTTTTAAATCTGGTGCTGTATTTCACTGTGCAATGAGGCACAGAACAACACTAATTGTAAATTTACTTACTTCCCTGAAATTTCTAGCTTACCTTTGGCTTTGATGGAACTTAACTCAGAATATGAATTCAAGAGAAACTTAACTGCTGTTGTTTTAATAAAACTAATTAACATGAAATCCTGCTAGTCTGTCAAATCAGTAGATGTTCATAAATATCAAACATAGTCTTCAAGGCTTCTTTTACAAACCATGATGAATTTTGTACAATACTTCCAAAACATTTGGTTTATATATTTATTTATGTATAGCCTAGTTGCTATGAAGATTGGCAATTTTAAACATGCATCCCAAGTGCACGTACATATTTGCAAAGACAGTAAAATGTAAGTTTTGAAAAACCCCAAAGATCGAAATTCTAATACCATTGAATTTAATGAACAACGACCAATGTAATTTTGGGAATCAGAATTTTTTTCATACCTGATTCTGGTTGTGGATTTTTTTTATTAGTTGCTTTAAACTGCAAACCAAACAGCCGTCATTGCTTATGTGGATGACTTGCATAGTTACTCTTCATTTAGCCAACGTTTTTTACATAAAAAAAAAGAATTTAGGTTAGATTCTTTACTGTTCCTTGTGGATTTTACTGCTATGGGTTAGTTATGATACCTATGATGATACATTTTAGAATACCAAACGGTGTGTATTTTTACTAGACTCATGTCTATCGTAAGAACAGTTACAGTAAGTTTCTGTAGTTCTTGTTTTCTGAGAATGTATGGTTTTGGTTTTGTGGTTTTATTGCTGTTTGTGTTTTACTTTCAGACCTGGGGGTCAGAAGGATATCATCTGTGGGTTATTGATGGGAATTCCTCTTCAAACATGAAGCCTGAAAGAGATGCAAATAATGAAGCTCACCAATTTGGTATTCTGCAGTTTCATTTCATCAAGAGTGCACTCACTGTTAATCCTTGTATGGTAAGATTTTTGTTGATAAATATATCCTTATTTTAGAGCATATTTCTGGTTTTCAGGTGACCTCTGAGTTATTCTCTTAACAGGTTTTAAGTCTATTTTGCAGCCACTAGACTGGTCTTCATTTTTATCATACAGTCTTTAAAACGGTACTTTTATCACACAGTCTTTAAAATGGTGCTTTGAAAATACTGCTATGCGATATGGTAAAATAAAACCTAGTGGTACATAGTGATACAAAAACCGAGAACAGCCTTAGCACTTATTTTCATGTTGTTTATGTAGAACCTGTTGATATATTGACCTTATGTTTTCCTTTGTTTTCTGTACATGGAGTTCAAGGTTGCTTTTGTTTCTTTGTTGTTTTCTTTTGTTTTTAATACAGAGTAACCAGGAACAAGTCCTCCTTCAAGGAGAAGATCGCTTGTATTTGAACTGTGGAGATGCAACACAGGCTCAGAGTCCCAGAAATACTTCAGCACACTCTGAACATAAGCCTGCCAGGGAAAGACAGATGGCAGTTTAGATTCTCAGGGTTTAAGCACTTTACTAGGACACAGACATTGGCATGTTGTACAGGTAATTGCTGATAGTTTCCCATATGTGCTCTGTGCTTGTGAGAATTTATAGGACTGGAATTTGCAGCTGATCTCATCACTCTCTGCCTTCCCTTTTTCCTCTAGTATGAGATAATGCCTTTTGATTGCCTCTTGGGTTTCCCCTGGTACAGCTTTTTCTTATTGCCAGGTGATAAAGGAATGTTGGCCATTTCAGCCTTGTGGCTATGAGTTTGTATCCTAGCTAATTAAAAAAAATGTCTTTTTGACTCCTGGAAGGAGTGGTTAAATTATTTCCAGGGGTAGTAATGGGACAGATTCTATTTTCTCTGTAATATAGAGGAAAAATTACTTAACTTTTAATCTGTAATTCTAGTGTGTGTTCTTCTACACTTAAGTGGTAGATATTTTTCTAAATAAAAGTTTTTTGAAAGGTCCCCAAGATTTTGTTTTTCATATAGTACATGAATCGCTATTATTAAACAGCATTTGACTCTAGGCGTGTATGTCAGGTTCTAGATACTGTTGAATTTTAGCAGCACTTTAGCTGCCAGGTAGCTCGTTTGTTTTCCGAAACTGGTGTAGGAGGGCAAAGTCTGTGTAGGAGTAAAACTAACTCAGTTGGAATTACTGTGGGGATTACATACCTGTGAGAACAGCCAGTGGCTGGGTAATGAGAGCACTTACCTGCCTTGTATCAGACCAAGGGACTGGAGTTTGAACCTGGATTTGTATCATCCCATGTAACATGAAGAATCCAGGATCAAGATTTAATTTGTCATATCTCAGTTGAGTACTCTCATAACAAGTCCTTTGGATGTGCTGGTGTGTATTTCTGATTAGAAATTTAATCCCAACACTGAAAGTCCCTCCTGAATGCTATGTTATTGAAAGTTTTATGTTCCCATGAAAGGTTCTGATGAAGGAGAAGTACCTATGGTGGGGAAAGAGCAAATTTTGACTGTTAATCTCTGACACAATATTAGCAGTTGAATGTTGTTAATGCATTTCTGTATTTCTTGTGTTAAAAACAGGCTAACATTTAGGCTTCAGTAACTTTCTTGAGGGTGAAGAACCCATATAATTGTATTTAAAAAAGAAGTCCCAACATGAAAATCTCTTAAGCCAGTGTTTTGAAAAACATGGACATTGTACAAATTCCTTTAGAACATTATAATTAATTACTGCTTTAATGGTGTTTGGTATAGTTACGTGGTTTCCATTTTCTCTATTTTTTTTTAGATTCATAGTACGTATCTAGAGAGCAACTGGCCTATAAGGGTGAGTTATTTTAAGAATAAGTTCTTGCTTCTTTAAAAATATTGGGGATTTATAACTGGCCCTTAGGGTTGGATGAGCTCTGGAAGATGAAATAGTTGTTTTAAATTACAGCAAGAAGAATATGTATTGGGCAGTAAAGTAGAAAACATGAAAGATACTTTACAAGTTTTGACTCTGACATTATATTGCCTTGTAGTGATGTACTTGGGTAGGATATGTCATTTAAATAAGTTTCTTCCTAAGGTTCTGTGTTTTTTCTCGTTGAGCAGTTTTCAGCTATTGACAAGCTTGGACAGAATGTAGCTGTTGTTGGCAAGTTTGGTTTTGCACATTATTCTTTACTCACCAAAAAATGGAAGCTGTTTGGAAATATTACCCAGGTGAGAGATTATGGTACTTTATTCGGGTATACTGTGGAGATTTAATTTGTTAGAATGTGACTCTTGGAGAAAATTTAAAAATATCTTTTTCAAATAAACAACCTGTAGACATACTTGGGATTAGGGGTGCTGGTTTTGCATGTGTTTTTCATGAAATGGCTGAAACAACTATCTTGTGGTTTTGGCACAGTAATGTGTGTCTGATTATTAAAACATTTCCAAATCTGAGTGCATGTAGTCGGACACTTAGAATCATAGAATAGTTTGGGTTGGAAAAGACACCCAAAAGTCATCTAATCCAACCCCCCTGCAGTGAGCAGGGACATCTTTAGCTAGATCAGGTTGCTCAGAGCCCCATCCGGCCTCTCCTTGAATGTTTCCAGGGGTGGGGCTTCTACCACCTCTCTGGGCAGCCTGTGCCAGTGCTTCATCACCCTTATTGTAAAAAATTTCTTTCTTGTTTCTAGCCTAAATCTGCCCTCTTTTAGCTTAAAAGCATTACCCCTTGTCCTATTGTAGCAGGCCCTGCGAAAAAGATTGACCCTATCTTTCTTACAGGCCCCCTTTTAAGTACTGAAAGGCTGCAATAAGGTCTCCCCAGAGCCTTCTCCAGGCTGAACAACTCCCAACTCTCAGCCTGTCCTCATAGGGGTGCTCCAGTCCTCTGATTGTTTTTGTGGCCCTTTCTCAACCTGCTCCAAAAGGTCCACACTTTTTTTGTGCTGAGGACTCCAGAGCTGGATGCAGCACTGCAGGTGGGGTCTCACCAGAGTAGAGTAGAGGGGGCAGAACCACCTCACTGACCTGCCGGCCACACTTCTCTTGATGCAGCCCAGAATGCGCTTTGCTTTCTGGTCTGTGAGTGCACATTGCTGGGTCACGTCCAGTTTTTCATCCACCCACACCCCCAAGCCATCCTCAGCAGGGCTGCTCTCAATCCCTTCATCCCTGAGTCTGTATTGATACTGAGGGTTGCCCTTACCCAGGTGCAGGACCTTGCACTTGGCCTTGTTGAACCTCATGGTGTTCACATGGGCCCACCTCTCAAGCCTGTCTGGGTCCCTCTGGATGGCATCCCTTCCCTCAGACGCGTCAATCACACCACTCAGCTTGGTGTAGTCTGCAGTCTTGCTGAGGGTGCACTTCATCCCACTGTCTGTGTCATTGATTAAACAGCACTGGTCCCAGTACAGACCCCTGAGGAACACCACTTCTCACCAGTTGCCATCTGGACTTCAAGCCGCTGACCCCTACCCTCTGGATGCAACCATCCAACCATTTCCTGATCCACCCAACAGTCCACCTGTCAAATCCATATCTCTCCGATTTAGAGAGGAGTATGTTTTGGGGGACCGTGTCAAAGGCCTTATAGAAGTCCAGACAGATGACATCCATAGCTCTTCCCTTGTCCACCGATGCCGTCACTTCGTCATAGAAGGCCACTTACTCCCATATATCTTATCTGAGAGTTTGTGTGAGATGTAGCTTGGGATGCCAAGGTTGTAAATTCTGGCTAGAAACAGAAACCTAATTTGAGAGAGTTCAGGGATGCCAGTAATGTAAGGAACTCTGTAGCTGTGTTTTGTAAGATGGTGTTTGTCCTTCACGTATTATTCTGTAGTACCTTTTTTTTCAAACAACAAAAACTTCATATACATAGATTGTCTTGCCGCTATCAGTAAAGCTTATAAAGATCATGTATGGCTTTCAGAAATTACACATAGAATGTATGTGTGTGTAAGTATATAAAAATACATAAATGTATGTAATTTGGTTACTTTTTTCAGGAGCAAAATATGATGGTAACAGGTGGCTTAGCATGGTGGAATGACTTCATTGTTCTTGCATGTTATAATTTAAATGATCATCAGGAAGAGGTGAGGTATTTTTCTTCAAAGTAAATAAGTCATGTTTAGGATCTGTTCTACAGTAGTATTACAACTATGAAAAGCTTCATACATAGGTGGCTTTTTGTCATGTTAAGAAATTATTTATTAATATGTAAGTAATTTACAGAAATATATTATTGCTATTAAAAACATTTCTGCTAACTACTATGAATCTACTCATTGTTCTGAAAACTGTGACATTTTTGCATGTTAGCATGAAGCCTGTTTTGAGGTATGTAGTTACAGTGTTTTGGAACACTTTTGTAAGGTTTTAAATTAGATGAGCAGAAAAGCTTTACTTACTCTTTGCTTTTTAAAACTAATAAATAAAACTCCCTCCTTCTGTTTGTTGTTCAGTACTTCAGATTTGGCTGTACTTGTTCTTAACCACTTTAGATGCAATAATGTAATGCAGTGGATAAAACACAAAGTGTGTGTGTAGTAGATACACAGTAGTGTGTCTTGCCAGAAATCCTTGACAGCCATTCCACAAAAAAAAAGAAAATAATTTAATAAGGAATTACTAATAGTTTGTTGGTAAACAGAGCCTGTATTCAAACTACTCCTTTTCTTGTAGCTGAGAATCTACCTGCGAACGTCTAATCTTGACAATGCATTTGCACACATCACCAAAGTGCAAGCAGACACATTACTACTGAGTGTCTTCCGGGACATTGTAATATTGTTCAGAGCAGATTGTTCCATTTGCCTTTACAGTATTGAGAGAAGGCCTGAAGGGTGAGTGTCAGTAGTTAAATGCTTTTGCAGTAATTTACTTGTAAATCTGTTCTCAGTTTGCGTAAATTTTAATGATAATGTAGAGGTGTCTGACAACTTCTGGAGTCAGATTTTTAAAATAAGGAGGGGAAGGTGTTATTTGTATGCACAAGTGGTAGTTCATGAGTGTTGTCACTTGCATGCATGCAGATACACACATTAGGTGTGGAGGTAGTGACTGAGATATGCACCTTTCCAGCTGTCTCTACAAGCATGTTCTATCTGATAGGAAGTTGAAAACTGGATGTAAATAGAAGAAAAAGGTACTAAAAGGCACCCACATATTTCAATAATTTTAATAAAAAATTGTTTCTAACATTAGAAGTAGGAATTGGTGAGGGTGTTGGAGGAGTAGCAAAGATGAAGAGAGAAAAAGTTTTTGGTCTGTGATGTGATGGTGGGGAGCTATTTTGGTGCAAAAGAAGTAGCAACATAAGAGCCAGATACTTTCAGATTAAGAGCAGTGAACCTAAGGAAGAGATAAAGATTGCCAGATAGTTTTTCAAAGTGCCTAAGCAGGTGATTTTTCTTACATTCATGACATCTTGGTTTCAGCAAGAAGAGACCTTTTCATTTTTAGCAGAAAGCAAGCTCTTGGTCCACTTTAGAGGAAAATATTTTCAATGCTTTTCAAAGAAATTTCCAACAAAATCCAGACCTTGGAATTGTCTTGTTGAAAGGTGAATAGTTTTATTCTGAAGTATCTGATGTTGTCTTCTATCCACTCATAGCTGTATTACCCAAAACTATCAAGATAAGTAGCCCACCTTGGATTTATTTTGTAACTTTATGTAGAGTAGGTCTGTGGGATTCCTGGTTAAAGGAAAGTAATTTTGCTGAGGTTGTTACCTATTTTCATTTTTCATGGGTTTACTTCAAGATACTAATTTTATGTTAAATACTATTTTAAAATTGCTAAATGTAGTCATCTTTCCTTTCAGTCTTAACCCTACTGCCTGTATCCAAGTTCTTCAAGAAGTGTCCATGTCTCGGTACATTCCTCATCCTTTTCTTGTAGTGTCTGTTACGTTGACATCGGTGAGGACAGAGACTGGCATCACCTTGAAGATGCCTCAGCAGGTAACAGGTCTAGTGCTCAAAATTTAAAAGAATTGGTGCCTGTATTTGTTAGCTTGGTCCTCAAATGTTGCCTGGCTGATAAATGAATCATAAATCAGTGGTTCTTCTATGTGGCCAAATGCAGAACATGTTTTTTCTGATGTTTGTTAGATAGACGTTTTATGTATGAATTGGGGGCGGGGGTGGAAATAAAATCCAAACTCTTACTTCTATATCATATCTTCTCTTCTCATCTTGTGAAGTTTGGGGCCAAATCTTGGAGGGCAAATTAAACGTAACTATGTCAAGAGTATGTTTCTCTATTGTGTTGTTATTACTACTCAACTATTAAAAGTTGAACACCAGAGCAATCCGTGGCATTAGGAACTGCCTTTCTTGCAGCAACACGTCCATTACTCAAAGAATAAACAGAAAAAAGTAAAAGATGGCATATCACCCTATCAGGTTACTTCTGGTCAATTTCCTACTACAGTAAAATAAAGTAAGATAATCTCTCCCGCTAGTTAAGTCAGGAGACGGGCTAACAGCCAAACAATGAGTAGGGAGTGAAGGTGAAGCCTTGTCTTAACCCCAGGAAATGACTGAGGCCACTGAAAGCACAGTGCAAAGAGAACTTGGATTTTTGTTGTCTGTGGTGTAAACAAATTAAGCATACTGTTTAAGCAGCTGCAGTATGAAGTGTGTTTTCTCATCAGAGCAGCTACCTTAAGATAGTTTGGAAGTTGAGTTGTCTGTCAGGCAGGCCTGTAGGCATGTGAAGATGCGTATTTTTCTTCACATACCAAAACCACTGGCAGGTATGAAAGCAGTGGCACAGATGTAGAATCTGAAGGTTTGCGCTTGCTTCCTTCAGTTCATTCTAATTTAGTGTCCAACAATGCTCAATGTATGTCCTGAGACTTTGATACTATCTTGGACAAGGGCATAAAAGGCAACATTCTTGTGGTTTAGTCCATCAGGTCGCGGGACAGCATCCTTACTTTGGAACTATCTGACCTATCGTGTTTCCTAATTTTGAGAAAAAGCTACTGAAACTTCTTATAGCACTAGTAATATTCTAAACTTAGCTTCAGACTGAAAAATATTACCCCTTTTCTTTCCTGATCAAAGGAAAAGTATTGGTGTTAGGACTGAGTATGATACTGCACTGTAGACAAAGCAATGTGTCTGACTTAGCGGAGTGTATTAGCCTCTTCAGTGTTGTAGGCTATTGGTGACCTTCACCGCTGATGCAGCAAACTTACCATACAGGTCCTCTAGCCATGAAACAGTTCTTAAGTAAATCTTTAGAAAGAATACCTTGCTTTCTTGATATACCCAACTAGAAAGATTTTTCCTCTAACTGCAGCTTCTGAACGTTCAAGATGCTGTACAAGTGTGGCTAAACTCTTTTTTGGCTCGCCTCTTTTTGGCTTGTGTACCAGTGTTAGTCTTTGCAGTCAGATGCTGGCAATCATACAGTGGTGATGCTGATAAGAATACAGAGCTTTATTTTTCTTAAAATACTGGTGGCTTGCCTATGCCAAGAGGCATATTGGAAAAAGCCCATATGAAATAAATACGTGGAATGAGTCTAGTGAACAAGAAACCTTCTAGTATGTACTTCTTTGCACAAGAACTACATAAATGAATCTATCTTTAAGTGCTTAGTCTACTTGATTTTTCTGAGTCCTTCTGCATTGAATTTCATAGAATCGTAGAACCATAGAATGGTTTGGCTTGGAAGGGACCTTACAGATCACTTAGTTCCAGGCCCCCCCCCCCACCATGGGCTGGGACACCTCCCACCAGACCAGGTTGCTCAAAGCCCCATCCAGCCTGGCCTTGAACACTGCCAGGGAGGGGGGGGAGGGGGCAGCCACAGCTTCTCTGGGCAACCTCTTCCAGTGTCTCACCACCCTCACAGGAAAGAATTTCTTCCTAATATCTAATCTAAATCCACCCTCTTTCAGTTTGAAACTGTTACCTCTTGTGCTATCACTACACTCCCTGATCAAGGGTCCCTCCCCACCTTTCCTGCAGACCCCATTAACAACTGGAAGCCCACTAGAAGGTCTCCATGGAGCCTTCTCCTCTCCAGGCTGAATAGCCCCAGCTCTCTCAGCCTGTCCTCATAGGATAGGTGCTCCAACCCTCTGATCATCTTCATGGCCCTCCTCTGGACCCACTCAACCAGGTCCATGTCCTTCTTGTGCTGGGGGCCCCAGAGCTGAATGCGGTACTCCAGGTGGGGTCTCACCAGAGCAAAGTAGAGGGGGAGAATCCCCTCCCTCGACCTGCTGGCCACATCTCGGCCCAGGATGTGGTTGGTGTTCTGGGCTGCGAGTGCAAATTGCTGGGTCATGTCCAGCTTTTTGTCCACCAGCCTCAAGTCCTTCTCCCCAGGGCTGCTCTCAATCCACTCATCCCCCACCCTGTATCTGTGCTTGGGATTGCCCTGACCCAGGTGCAGGACCTTGCACTTGACCTTGTGGAACTTCATGAGGTTTGCGTGGGCCCACCTCTCCAGCCTAATTTAGTTGTTAGTCATCTCTGTACGGCAGTGCAGATATTTTCCTCTTTTTGTTCTGGATTTGTATTGTGATTATGGGTAAAGTGATGCATTCAAAAAGCTTAAATAATTTGCGTAATACTCTTTTATCCTTAGGCTTGTGAGGCTGAAAGTATTATGCTAAACTTAGCAGGACAACTTATCATGTTGCAAAGGGATCGATCTGGACCCCAGATACGAGATAAGGATAATAATCCTAATCAAAGGAAGCATGTGAGTAAATATATGTGGAATATTGTATATGGCTCCAAAGATGTTGTCAGTGACTGAAGAAGTTGTGGAAGGGAGTAGTCCAGGCATAAAGAAGAGCGGACTATAATTCATGGCAGTGTCTGCACTTAAAGGCTGAATTGTTAGCTGGAAGTAAATCACTACTCCTATGATTAATTTTTTTTTTTCCTCTAAGAATCTGTGATACTTAATTGTGTGAATAACCAAAGTATTTAGCAGTGAAAGATAAGAGTTTTAAGTATAAAAGTGCTATGCAAAATTTGGTATGCACTAATGACAGGAAAAACTCTATTCTATCTAAAACTTTTCTGTATCGAAAATTATCACTGTTTGCAGGATATGTTTACAAAGTTCCTAAAAACGACAACAATAGAAATCCATGAGTGAACTCCTCTGTTTTTCTGTGCTGATGAAGAACACTTCTACATGAAACATTTTCACTCAACGGGAGAGTGAAATCTGAAAAGTTTAGATGAAGAGTTGTTTGCAGCTCAATCAAACACTAGCAAATTTGGTAATTTTGTTAGTTCTAGGTTGGACTCTTGGGCTAATGGAAGAAGTAGAGAGCAGGTTTTTATTTTCCTTCTATATTCTCACCCCTCTGGCTTCCTGACTAAGTGTAAAGAGGTTAAAAAAAAGGAAAGAAATGTCTTTTGAGTTAATGTAAGCAATAAGTGGTGTTTTCCCAGGTGCTAGGGTGCAATTCAGGGATAAGCGGGTTTGTTTCTTCTTTGTTAGAAGAATAGCATGTTTGAAGAGAGTCGTATGTAGCTGAAAAAAAAGTTCTTGTGAAGAGGGTTAAAAAATAAAAAGGGAATAATGAATTCTGATTTATTTTTTCCTTCTTTTTTTTTTTATATAGCTGCCTTTTTGTGCTCCAGTTGTCTTAGCTCAGTCTGTTGAAAACGTATGGACTACTTGCAGGATCAACAAACAGAAACGCCACTTATTGGAGGCTCTGTGGCTCAGCTGTGGTGGGGCAGGTATGAAAGTCTGGCTTCCCCTGTTTCCCAGAGATCATCGAAAACCGCATTCCTTTCTGTCAAGACGGATCATGTTGCCTTTCCACATCAACATATACCCATTGGCTGTTTTGTTTGAAGATGCCTTGGTTCTTGGTGCTGTTAATGACACTGTGCTCTATGACTGTTTATACACTCAAACCAGTGCTAGAGAACACTTAGAGGTTCACTTTCCTTTCTCCATTGTTGAGAGAACCTCTCAGATCTACCTCCATCACATTTTACGCCAGCTCTTGGTTAGGAACCTCGGTGAACAAGCCTTGCTTTTGGCCCATTCCTGTGCCACGTTACCATACTTTCCTCACGTACTAGAACTGATGCTTCATGAAGTGCTGGAAGAAGAAGCTACCTCGCGGGAACCCATTCCCGACCCCCTGCTTCCCACTGTGGCGAAGTTCATTACAGAGTTCCCCCTCTTCCTGCAGACAGTTGTTCATTGTGCTAGGAAGACAGAATATGCCCTGTGGAATTATCTTTTTGCTGCTGTTGGAAACCCGAAGGATTTATTTGAAGAGTGCTTAATGGCCCAGGACTTGGACACAGCTGCCTCTTATCTTATTATCCTACAGGTAATGGTACCTCATACATTGCAAGAGAAGTGATATTTACTAATGTTGTCGCATTTCAAAAATATTGTCGTACCAAAGTTGTGCATATCAAATTTCTAATTTAACAGTCTTCTGTTGAGACTATATCCAGTTATGAAGGGGGGGAATATAATGCGATGTAAGTAGTTAGTTTACTGTTACAAAAAGGAAAATAATAGCATGAAATGTGCTTCTTCTAATCTCTGGTACTCTTTGAGTGTCATGATGTGACTTGACTTAATATGACTTTTGTGGCTCAATGGCAAGAGCAAATGGCTTAATTATGCTTTGTAACTTGCAGAATATGGAAGTTCCAGCAGTTAGCAGACAACATGCTACTCTCTTATTTAATACTGCCTTAGAGCAGGGAAAGTGGGATCTTTGTCGTCATATGATCAGATTTCTTAAAGCCATTGGCTCTGGAGAAACAGAGACTCCTCCATCTACACCAACAACTCAGGTGTGTGATGAAAATAGTAAATACTGTGCGTCAAACCTTGTGTGATTAATCTTGGTATTATATAGCATATTTGCTCCTTTGACTGTTTGTTTGGGTTTTCTTGTGTTTAGGAACCTAGTTCAAGTAGTGGCTTTGAGTTCTTCAGACATCGCAGCATTAGTTTATCTCAATCAGCAGAGAATCTCCATAGCAAATTTAACTTGACAAAAACACTGAGTATGCCCTCTGGCCCATCTGGAAAAAGGTAATTGGTAGTAATGTCCTCTCCTTCCCCACTTTGTTAGGTGCCGTACTAACTCTCTTACCAATTTAAGTTACAGAAGTACATTATATGATAGTTAGATTTGTCATAGTCTCCTGCCCCATCCTTCTGCATTCCTCTTTTCCCACTTCTTGTAATGTCTGTGCCCCTCTGTCTTGGAAGAATATATTCTCACACATGTAAATATGTGTGTGTGTGTGTATGTATATATACACATGCACACTTAGATGGATATTGTTGAACAAAAGCCTCTGAATTCACTGGATGCATATGTACTAATTTAGGTAGCTAGTGAGACTGCATGCCTTATATTTGAAGGATCTGTTTTGCTGAAAGATACGTCTTGAACAGCTCGCAGTGCTGCAGCATCATAGTATGCATCGCACTGTGATACTGTGCACATCTTGATCTAGCAGTGTGTTGCCAAGCTGTAAATAGAGCCTTTTACACCTTGGGGTGAATCCCTCTTAAACTGCTGTATACAGCATTCATATGAGCAGTATTAATGTTCAGAAGCAGCACAGAGCTGGGCTTATTGTCTTAGCTTTGGCTTTTTTCCCCATGTAGGACCTTCAAAACAGTCCTAGTACAAATTCAAATGCTTTTATTTTGTAGTTTTCCGTAGAGAGTACTATCTTAAGAGTTTTGATAGGAAGGCTCCTAAACGTAATACTGGACTTGTTCTCTAAACTGGTTTCTCAGAAGTCACTTTGCAATGGCATCTGCCTTTTATCTCTCCATCTTTACTTTTTTTCTGCATCGCTAATAGTTTAATGGACGCTGCTGCTGTTGTAACTGCCTTCCCTTATTTCACTTACCTGTTGAGGCAGTGGGATCTTTTACAGAATGTAAATAGGAAGGAATGGTGGAAACTGCTTTTTTTTTTTGGTATATAGAAAGCTCTCACTACTGCTCTGGTTACCTGATGTACTGTGGTTGTGGCCGAAAGCCTCTGACTGTTTTATTACTCTTGATGTCGCTGTTCTCTGGTCTGTGTATAGGTGGAGTAAAGACAGCGACTGTGCCGAGAACATGTACATTGACATGATGCTCTGGCGGCATGCTCGGCGCCTGCTAGAAGAAGTCAAGCTGAAAGACCTTGGCTGCTTTGCTGCACAGTTAGGCTTTGAGCTGATTGGCTGGCTGTGCAAGGAGCGAGCCAGAGCTGCCCGCGTGGATGATTTTGTGTTCGCTCTGATAAAGCTACATGAGGATTTCCTTTGGCCATTTCCAGTCATACCGGCTTCGTCCATTAATTCACCTTTCAAGAATGGAAAGTACAAGACAGGTGCTGTAACATCTGAGTTGGTTTGGGCTAGGTTTCCCTTCCACAGTTCTACACCCATCAGTCTGAATCTGTCCTTCCTCAGTTCAGCCAAGTAAAGAACAGGCTGAGGCATGCCACCTGCACAGCTTTCTCACAGAGGGTGTGTTTTTTGAAGGGATTTTGTGTAGTGTCGCTTGTGTAGTCTGATGACACTACTGTTTCTGTTGAGGTTTCTTCCTTTCTCAGGTGCACTGAACTGGGTATCGCTTCTGCAGACATTGATTTGAACATGGATATTGCTCTTTGATATAAATTCTGCTACAGAAAATTAGTAAAATCAACATCCTTATATAGTCTTTAGATGAAATTGATTAACTTTTTTTTATATTGAAAAAGTAATGTTCCTAATATTTGAAATTTGCTGTATGTTAAAGGGTAAGATTTTTGAGGACTTGCTGCAAACCTCCTTTGTGTTATTAATATCTCAGTTCACTAGTTCATCTTTGCCCTCTAGGGCAAAGCTGATACTAGCTGCCAAGTCTTCCTCTTTTTGGTAGTAGTAGCAGCACCATTATTTAGTTCTATTGATGCTAACAGTTTGTCAGCTGATACTTCTCTGTGCCAGTGCTGACATAAAAAGCTGATCAGAAATTCTTGAAATACCTAAACTTGCTGCATTCCCTTGGTTTTGGTGATCCCTCAGCAAACTAATTGCATATTGATTTAGATACAAGTTTTAGCTTCCTGAAATGCCAGGAGAGAACTTTACAAATTGCCTTTTTGATTGTTACAAGGCTTTTCTGTGGTGGAATCTTTTGCCTTTTTTTTTTTTTTTAGCCATGGGGGAGCAGCTGCTAAAATCTCAGTCTGCAGACACCTTCGTGAACATGGAAATGGACACAGGGGTTTCAAACACACCTCGGAGTCGCAGCTGGCTTGGCACTATCAGCTCCTCTCAGAGAGAGATTGACACCATTTCATCCCATGGACCACACATGCAAGATGCATTCCTTTCTCCTTTGCTAAGTAAAGGTTAGTCACCCTTCCTTCTGTCTGCTCATTGGAAAAATGCACCTGGAAGTATGTACCTGTATTTGATATTTGCGTGCCACTGCTGTATTGTTGCTTCTCAACTGCTGATAAGCATAATTCAGAAGGAAGGGGCGGCGGGAAGAAAGAGGACTTGTTGAAAAGTGAACTGAAATTTTTACAACAGAAAGATCATGCCCATGTCGTACATCTTCAAGTATTTGAAGTACTTGAAGTAGAATATTAAATTGGTATTTGCTGAAGTTCCTGTCTGTGGCAATAACTTGAAATTTACTATTTTTACAGTCTGGCTGGGAAGAGTGCTTTATGCTTTTGACCTGTGCAAAAGGAAAGATAAGCCTCTTGCGCAGGTTGGCACTGTTCAAATGCATGAACTTTGTGCTTTTGGATTTCTTTAGAAAGATATTAGATAAACTCTGTATTGAGGAAGTTGAGAAAATTATAGTCCCATATAGTTTTCTTTTTTCCAATGGCTTTGTTTAAATAGTTTGTCTAAAATCTCAAATGTATGATCAGCTTATGAAAATACAAAGGGGAATTTTATTCTCTGCATCTTTTCTGACCACAATCCGAGATGGGATGTTTGTCAGACCATTCATATCTCTCTTTTTTTTTTTTTTTCCCAAACTCCTTGTTGTCCTCAAGCATAGAGCAACATTTTCAACAGTGTCGTCATATGATTTCTACTTTATTAGGGGAAAGACCTAAGTTTGAACTACCATCTCCCTAAGATGCTAGGGCTTCCTGCGAGAGTCAGAGCACTTGGAGCTGCTATTTAACAAGTTGATGGGCTTTAAAAAACTGAAGAAAGATTGAGGTTCTTTCCCTCTGCTTCAACACTGCTTCATTCTATTTTCACTCCTGTTTCTCTTTTATTACTTCTGGAGACTGCAAGAATGCATTAGGTTTAAGTAAGCTTGTTATAGAACTCTGCGAAAAAGCATAATTTCGGTGGGGAAAATCTGTTTCTCTTTTCATTGCACTATCTTGTACTGCTGTCTGCCACCACCACTGTTTCTATAAACAAGTAGCTCATTTTTTTTCTGAGCTGGATGAAGACCTTTGAATTCAGTGGACTTTTGTATGCATTTTGAAGCAGTTTATTTCTGAAGTGGGAGTAAATTAATAGTCTTTAAAACATTGTGAGCTGAATTTTAATAATAACAGTAATTTCACAAATAACTAATACAGCAGTGGTAGTCACAGGCAAGAAGCTGATAGAATAACTTTCTGTCTTTGTAAACATTCTCCACAGAAAAGATGCATCTACTTTAATATGGAAACTGTTGTGGAGGGTGTGTGCCTTCATGACTCACCTCTATAATGGTTTAAGCTTTGCTGTTACTGTTCCTGTGAAAATTCTGTGGCTATGTCTACTCTTCATGTTTTTATTAGAAACAGTTATTTCTTGTTGTAATTAGTGCAGGTAAATATTTGCATTACGAAGCATTCAGAATCTTGGGGGTTTTATGAAGAAAACTTGCTATTGCATCTTCATTTTTAACAAAGTTAAAGGTTAAGAAAGCAGTATCTTTAGACAGACTGCAACCCTTCCTACAGACTTAATTCTAGGACTATAGTATGTAAGAGACTGTCGCTGTTCTCTCACAGTGATTGCCAATAGATCTTTAGGATCTCTTTTGATATTATTCTGCAGAATTATTTTTATTGGCAATAATAGTTCTACCATATAGTGTGACAAGAAGAATGCTGAAGTGGGATGGACAGTATGCCTGAAGTAACTTCTTAGGACTGCGATACACAGCAAAGCATTACTGTGTAACTTGTCAATTTCTATAGGAAGTAGTTCTGAAGTTCGGAGTCTTACTAAAGTAAGTAGTTTCTTTTTTCCTTATGTTTCTGAGTGTTTTTGGTAGGTGACGAATGCAGCATTGGTTCAGCAACGGACCTGACTGAAACAAGTTCTATGGTGGATGGTGACTGGACCATGGTGGATGAAAACTTCTCCAGTCTAAGTTTAACTCAGTCAGAGCTTGAACACCTTTCTCTAGAACTGGCTAGTAAAGGGCCGCACAAGTCACAGGTCCAGCTGCGGTAAGTAACATAATCTTTGCATTTTGAGACTTGGTATGCAGCATTAGGAGAAAGAAACACTCTGCAGAATCACAGTGGGGTTTTGCTTTAGAGTGGAAAAAGAAATAAGTAGGCTGTTTTTCCATGTAGGTACTTGCTACATATCTTCATGGAAGCAGGATGTCTGGATTGGTGTATTATCATAGGCCTTATTCTCAGAGAATCTTCAGTAATCAACCAGGTTTTCAGTATAATGCAATCCTCTGATATTGATGGAGAAATCTGTCAGAATATTAAGACTGGCCTATATGCTGTTGACAAATGGGCTTCTACAGATTGGTAAGTGTTGTTTTCCACCTTCATTTTCATTCCAGTTGTAGGTACTTAGTTACCTAAAAAATAACGTTATCTCAGCCCTAGCTGAAACAGTTATTTAAAAGCACTTTTGCAGAAAACTTCAGGACAGTCACTTAATACAGTTGTGATCAAACTGGAAACAGACCAAACCCAAACCAACCAGTGGCCCAACTTTTATTGTTTGATTATGGTTGCCTTTTCCCCTCTGTTTAAAAAACAAAAGAGTTTCTGTACAGGAAGATACTCATAAACATCTGCCAAGAAAAGCTGCTTTTCAGGGACGCGACAGAAATACTATTTTTTAATTCACTCATGGTGTTCTGTACCATTATTTTCCTAGCCCTGGGTACAAGCCATTTCTAAATATCATCAAACCACAGATCCAGAAACTAAGTGAAATAGCAGAAGAGCAAGTACAGCCTGAAGCTTTTCAGCCAGTGAATCCTTCTAAGGTTACTGAACAAGTGAACCCCAGAGCTGAGGAAAGCAGGACTTCATCCAGCCATGGCACTAATCCTCAGAGTGACGCTGGCAACAGCAATGCAGGCAGGAATGAAGAGGACAAGTCTAAGATGGAGGATGAGGATTCATTCCAAGAAGGCAGTTATGACTGTATTGTGTCTTAAATGGAAGATTAACAACTTCCCAAGCATCAGGTGTGAAAGGAAGCAAACCAGCTCTTAGACATGCTTCCATGTTTTGGATTTGAACTTTTTTTTTAATGTTTCAATCTTTGAAATCTTTAGTGGGGATAACTAAGCAGCAGTTTCATCTAATAATTTCAGAAGGAGGCAAGATTTTTTTTTTCTGATGCAATCTTCAGACTGCAGCTTTAGGTTTTGATACTTAATAGTGCTGAGAGACAGTGAATACATACGGAGACAGGTTCAGCTAATGTCCGTACATTTACATCACCAAGACATGTTCTGAAGAAACTTTCTCTTGCTTGAGTTTCAAAGGTAAAGAGGGGATTAAATTTAAAAACTGTTATGCTTTGCAGCTTGCCTGCCTAAGAAATGTCTGATCAATGCAGTTCAGATTGGTTTGATATCAATATTTTGTATTAAAGGACTGTAAAATATATATTGTATGTTTTTGTGAATACTCTTGTACAAATATTCAAGGTTGTACCGTATTTGAAGGTACCTACATGTATTGTGCATGTTTCTAGATGACTAGTAAAGTTAAAGCAGAGTTGCACTTCTTTCTGGATGAGGCATACTGTATTGACCTAACATTGACACAAGGTGGCTTACCTGTTTTTTTACTGCCACTTACAGATCTCATAGCTGGATTTGAGGGATTGCTGAAGGTTATTTATTTCATTGTAAATTCTTTTCTGAAAAATGGATCTTTTAAATGTAAATAATCATCATACACTCTTGCTATGGAAAATTAGTTTAACAGCTCATACTTAAACATTTTTCAAACATTTTATAATATGCGTACTTGTAACTAAGACATATTTAACTTTCACACAATGTTATGGAAAGCTGGCTGCAGAAGTCTGTTGCTTGGAGGTACTTACTTTTTTTCTAGCTGCTGTCCCTATGTAATAACTACCTGTAACAGTATTAATTTAGATATTGGCTTGTTTGTACTGTGCAATCTGAACAAAAACGCAACATTACTCATTTTATACAAAATAAACTAGTTTATTTTTTATAACATCACTTGATTACTGACATGGACCAAACTAGTCATCAGAGGGTAGTTACAGCATCTGTTGCTTTTCTAGTGTAGTTACTATATGCACATCCATTTAAACTCTGAAAATTAAGAATATTGACAATGAAGTTGAAATAAATTGTGGTTTTATCTTTATTTCTTTTGTAGATAAGATCAAGTGCTTTAAAATGTACAGATATTAAACTGTTGCTTTAGAATGGCTTTACTAAGCCAGTACAACCAGTACAAGTGCAATAATTGCAAGTGTTACTTGGAAAGCTGGAGATTTTAGTGAATGAAGCTTGAATTTCCATTTAGGAGTTGAAACTAAGACTGAAGTTATAGGAAAGAAATCCAGTTCAAGAATCCCAGCATTAAGCTTAGTCTGCATTGTAGCTACTGGTTACAGATAATGTCTATCATACCTACAAGCCTGTTATGAGCTGACATCAGAATCCATTATTGTTATAAGGGGATACTTAAAGCTTTTTTTTATGATAAAAACTGCTTAATCTATGTTAAAAGAAATAAAAACTGTGCTTCAAGTTAATATTTTTCTGTGGTTCTGTGGTAATGATGTAAGCCAAGCCCATCCTGATCAGCTTTCTGCTGTTCAGGTTTTGGATCTGTATGAGAAGACACGTACATTAACTGATATACTAACATTCTTAATATTAGTATCTTACTACTGTGCTACTGTTTAGCAGTTAAATCTTTTTAGTTGTGAAATTTTAGAAGTTTGTACTTCTTTAGTAGTAATTATCTCTATGCAAATCTTATGTCCTAATTTTGTATTTCAATTTCACTGCTGTTATACCTGTAACATTAAAGAAAAATGTATTCAACTTTACTTGAAGTTACTCATGTGGAATATAACTGTTTCTGACTTCAAGCCATTGACAGTAAATTTCCAGAATTCAAGTAGGTTGTCTCAGAGAAACAAAGCTCATTAAAAAAAAAAAAAAACACACACAAACTACCTGGTGAAGATTGTTTTAGTTTGCCATGTCCTACCTTCATCCTGTGAAACAGGCCACAGGGGTATCAAGCTCCTAAGTTAAAAATTGGCTTATTAGTGCATTTTTGAAGTTACAGCCACCTGTTGTTTTGAAAAGAGGCGTATTTGGTTTAGGTGGCAAGAGTGTGGTAACAAGGTGGGCAGCAGGGGTGGCCTTGTGAGTGGAGCCCAGGAGCTGCCCCCATGTCAAACACAGCCAGTTCCAATAGACCCACCATGGGACACAGCTGAGCCTATCAATCAGCCAAGCTGGTGTTCCCTCTCTGTAATACATTTAACAAGGGGTAAGAAAATGTTGTGCAGCAGCTGTGAGAGAGTTGAGTGAGGGGAAAAAAAGATGCAAGGAACAGTCCTGCAGGTAGACAGGCCCATAAACGAGGTGCTCCAGACAGTGGAGCAGAGATCCGCTGCGGCCTGTGGAGCTGTGCAAGTAAACACATACATTAACTAACGCTCGTAGTATCTTACCCGACTGTTGTTTAGCAGTTAAATCTCTAGGCCGTGGTGAAGCAGGCTGTCCCCTTGCAACTGGGAGCAGCTAGCCACACTGTAGCCTGTGGAGGACCCCGCGCCAGAGCACGTGGATGAGCCCTGCAGGAAGCTGCAGCCCATGGAGAGCCCACGCGGGTTTTCTGGCAGGAACTGTAGCCCATGGGGCCACATGCTGGACCAGTCTGTTCTGAAGGACGACCCCACCAAGAGGAGGATCCACGCTGGAGCAGTTCATGTCAGACTTTATCACATGGCAGGGACCCCACGCTGGAGCAGGGGAACAGGAGGAGGAAGGAGCAGTGGAGAGGAGCAGACCGTACCCTGACCCCTCTGCACCATTGTGGAAGAAGAGGCAGAAGAGCCAACTTGAGTCTGGGAAGAAAGGGGAGGTTGGGGGAAGGTGTTTTTATTTTTCTCTTTGTTTGTTGCTGTCCTACTTTGTTTTCCATATTATGGTAACCAGTGAGTAATCTTCCTCTCTCAACCCCTAAGGTTTTCATCTTATTTTTCTCCTCCTGGCCTGCTGAGGAGAGGGTGAGAGTGCAGTTTGGTGGGCACCTGGCAGCCAGGCAAGGTTTATTTATCTACAAAGATGCACTATTACCTCAACCTCAACATGGGAAAATGGGCCATTTAACTAGTTGAGGGTCAACATTTTCTGTGGAATTTCAACTCACTGTCTCTCCTCTCACTTTGCTTATCCAGCTCACATAAAACTGGCTGCCCTGCTTCTTCCCAGCCTTGTGTACTTAAGTGTTTAGCATTTAATAGCATAGAAAGACACCAGATTTCCTCCTTTACCAGTATTTGCATATCATGAAGTTTTCTTGTCATCCTGCACAAAATTAATTCCCTCTGAAAAAAGAGCAACAATGCTGGATTCCTTGCTATTTAAAAAAAATTCCTCTCCCACAGGGTATACTTGCAAAACTGCTTGAGTCAAGTCACGTCTGAGGATAATTTTCACCATCACTTTTGTCAAACAAAGCAAGCTCATGTTTTAGGCCAAAGCAACCAATCTGAACAGTTTGAAGAGCTGAAGTGTCTGTAAGCTACAGGTTGAGATCCACTGCTAAGTAAACAGAAATACATGAATGCATCATCTAGCCAGAACCTGTAAAAAAGAGATTCCTTCATTATAAAGTGAGGGAGTTGTCTACAGCTATAATGATACTATAACAGATGACAGGTAACTTGTTGAGGATGGTAAGCTGGCTTCAATTCAAGGAAGGAGAGTCCCAAGAGAAAACACGGCCACATACCCAACTTACTGCCTCATCATAGTTTCCAGTCCTCGAGTTGAAGACACTTGAGCTATTCTAGTGAGCAGCAAGATGAACACCAAAAGTAGTCCCAGTGCTTAAACACTCTGAAAGACACACTTGTTCTTGCCAAGTTTTCTATCATTGTGTACCAAGTGAAGTAAGTGAACTCAAAAGAGTTTCCTACCGGAAAGCACTAAGAGACTTTACAAAATCCCACAACTGGAGGCTGAAGCTAGCTAAACTCTTCAGACGTAAGGCACCTAACCACTCTTTCATAACTTTTTTCAAACTACTGTTTCCTATTAAAAAAAAAAACCACCCCCCCACCACACACAGAGAAAGCAATGTCCCTGAATAAACTGTGCATGGACAGCTTTCTAAGACAGCTACTTCGATTCACCTCTACCTATTTGCTTTGAAGCTTGTATTCTTTCCTGAGTCTTAGACCAGACTGACAGAATTGTTCACATCCAGATGATCTGATTACTTTCAGGATTGATTCTTACAGCTTACTGAAACTGAAATTTTTTAAAAAACTGGTTTGTTAATGGCCAGTGATACCTGACATCCTGTGTGAAATATAGGGAGACCTAGTCACTGCTACCTAAATTGGCTTATACTTCTTGCTCAAGTCTCAGCTTTATTCTTGGCACGTTCTCAAGCTGCATCTGCAGCTTTGACAGGACCATAAGGTGTTGCAGCCCAACAGAACCTCTTCTGCAGTGAACCTCTTCTGCCTGACTAATTTATCTTTGGAGACTGTAACAGATTTTCATGAAGACTGAGAATCCATGTTTATCTTCAAAACAGAAGTCACACTTACGCAACTTCTTCACGTTGTCTAACCACACAGTTTTGTGACAGGGTTACTGATCCTGCATGGCTTTTTAGCAGTCCTTTGCCACGACCACATATCCAGTTCTAAGATGGGTCATCCTGCAGGCTCATTCCAAATTATTATCAAGAACAAGCCTAGGTTTAGCCCTCAAGGAAAAACGTACTGAACAGTGCTACCATGCAGGCAAACTCTTCAGCAGCAATGACCTAGATGCTACAATTAGCTCTGTATAGACTTGTGAGATGTTGTCTATTCGATCAGTGGTTTTCCAACACGCTTGCAACCCAACCTAGTTTGAACAAACATTAAAGACAGGTCTTGCTAACACAGAACAGCTCTGCTTAG